GGGAACCAGCAGTTAGCGTAATGGCTATGTCGCTGGACTCCCACGTAGTCGACCGCGGTTCGTGTCCCGGACCCGGTGGCTTAAAACTCACGCCGGGCGCGTGTGCGTGCGTGCCCAAAATCCCGAGAGGAGAATGGAGGAGAAGGGATTGCGGCATGACCATCCCCCCGGGGGGTGATTTCTCGCTTTCTGTCTCTATGTCTCTCTCTGTCTGTCTGGCGAGTGCACGTGCCCTACAGTGAAAATCTCTCCAAAAAAGAAAAAAAATTTACTTGACTTAAAATAAGTCAATTAAATCCCCATGAGGTCAGGGGAGTTCTAAGGACCATTCTCCCTCCTACTGGTCCTCATTTCAACCTAAGAAAGCCTGCTGTGCTATGTGGGGGCTTGTTTCCCAGCTCCTCTCAGGTCACCTGCCCTCGCTGTCTATCCTCAGAAAGCAAGGGCCTTATCACCTATAAGTTTCTCTAGTCCACAGAGTGGCCAAACATAGCAGAGCTGATGCAAGACCCTGGGATGGGGAAAGCTGCAGGTGTGTTTGTGCTGGGAGGAGCGGTAGCTCTCCACACCCCTCACCTGGGGAGTATAAAAACGAGCTCTCTACCACTCACTCTATCACACTCAGCCACAATGAACCCACTCTTCATCCTCGCCCTTGTGGGAGCTGCTGGTGAGTTCCGTGCCTGTCTCAGGCCTACCTGACCCCTTTCCTGGCAGAACTTGCCCTTCCTCTCTCGCCACCTGTCCTATTCCACCTGTGCTCTGAGGCTCTATTTTCCCCATTTGCCTTCTTCCCACTTCCTGAGATCTCGATGGGCCTCACCTTTCTCCCTCTCTCCCTGATTCCACTCTTACCACTGTCATCCGTATTAAGGTTATGGTCGGAGGGGCTGGACAGGGAGACCAGGTGGAGCTGGTCTGTGAAATGAACCAGTACGCCGAAGGCCTACTGAGAGCTCTGGGGTGGCTGAACCTCTGCTGCCCCTGTGGAGGACGAAAAATGCGCCAGAGTCTCACTCCTAGAAATTCTGACTTCATTTGTCTGGGATATGGCCTATATATTGAATTTGTAAGCTTCCCAGCTGATTTTAAGATTCCTGGTTATACAACCAAGTTTAGGAGCCCCAGTTCTATTGGCCAGTAACAGTGCCTACCCTTGTCATGCCTGCATAGGTATGGGGACTGCTCTCTACCCTAGCCTGACTGTACAGACCTGGGTGATAAGAGAAGCCAGATACAGACAGGTCTACTCAACCAGGAGGTTTTCCTTGCTAGGGAAGCCACCTCCACAATCTAGGGCTCCAACAGCCATGGAGAGTAGACCAGAGACAAGGAAGAGAACGCAAGTCGGTGCCACATTCTGACCATATCTGCTAAGTTCACTGTGAGGGCCTGTTTTATTTTAATCTTCCCCTGGCAGCCCCTACGGGAGCTCTAAGCCCCCTCTAGATTCTAGGTGCATGTGGTGTCTAGCTCTGCGCCCTGCAGGTACACAGAGACTAGGTGAGCTCTGTCCTGTGCTGCCCACTCGGGTGGCGGTGCTCTCTGGCTTGTTAATGAACCCCAATAAGTATAAACCAGACACAGGGCTGAGGGCGTCCCCTCAAACATCCTGCTAAAATTGACTTCTCCCTTCTCATCTGCAAGTTGCCTTCCCCACTAACGACGACGATGACAAGATCGTCGGGGGCTACACCTGTGAGGAGAACTCCGTCCCCTACCAGGTGTCCCTGAATTCCGGCTACCACTTCTGCGGAGGCTCCCTCATCAGCGATCAGTGGGTGGTGTCCGCCGCTCACTGCTACAAGTCGTAAGTGCTGGACCCCCACTGCAAAGCCCCAGTCCTGGTGATCTCAGAGAATTGGGGTTCAGTCCAGACGAGTGCTGAGAACGGGGCAGGTGGTGGGGAAGAGAGTGGAGAAGAAAAATCTTAGGCACAACTGACTTGCAGGAGCTGAGGAGCAGAGGGCAGGGAGGGACACAGGACAGGAAGCCTCTTACACCCAAACAAGTCCATGAAACAACCAGGATTACTGGTCACAAAAGTAGAGAGAGCTTATTGGCAGAGATGGAGGTGAGGACCAGAGGAAAGGTAGGCAAAGTCCTAAGGTCCTTGCACAAGTAGCCTTGCCTGTTGGCTGCACATGAAACCATCTAAGAAATAAAAGAAGAAAAAAATAGTGATGCCTGGGTCCTACTTCAAGGCAGTTCACTCAGAATTTTCAGGAAGAGGGAAAAGACCGCAGGCGAGTTTTAACACTCTCTGTCTAGTGACTCTACTGAGGCTAGAGCAGAGAACCACTGCCAGACCAAGGTGTCTCAAAGCCAAGTGTGAATCTAAGCTACCTGCAGGGCTTGATAAAATGCAATCACCAGGTCCCAGCCCCAGTGCTCCGATTTGCTAGGTCAGGCAGGCACGGGGAATGTGCATTTCTGACAAGGGCCCAGGTGATGCTGTTGCTGCAGGTCCTGGGGTCACACTTTGAAAGCCACCCTGTGACATCGTGCAGAATGGTGATGTTTATCAGACTGAGGAGGAAGGGCGCATGGTGTGCTCAGCAAAGGCATAGAGGCTGAAAGATGCTTGGGGAGGTCCCAGCTGCCCTGTATGCCCACAGCCCTGGGTGCCTGAGGGGTTATGGGAAAGGAGGTGGGAATAGGTGGTTGGGAAGCAATCCTCACTTGGATCCCTTTAGCTCATCTCCAACTCACTACCACCAATCTCTGAGGCAGAGAGGTCTTGGGTCTCCCCTCTACTAACCCCGCACTGCCCATGTTACACTGCTGCACACCCACCCCAGCCTCCAGGGCCCCCCGTGAGTGGAGAGCTTGAGGACAGAGGGGAAAGGGAGGGGTGGGTGCCCTGCTTGATGGAAAGTGAGCCTCACCACGCCTCTCTTCCCTATAGCCGCATCCAGGTGAGGCTGGGAGAGCACAACATCGACGTCGTGGAGGGCAATGAGCAGTTCATCAACTCCGCCAAGGTCATCCGCCACCCTAAGTACAACAGCTGGACCCTGGACAGTGACATCATGCTCATCAAGCTCTCCTCGCCTGCAGCCCTCAACACCCGGGTGTCCACCATCTCTCTGCCCTCCGCCTGTGCGCCCGCAGGCACCCAGTGCCTCATCTCCGGCTGGGGCAACACCCTGAGCTCTGGCAGTGAGTGAGACCCTTCACCCTCCTGCTTTTCTCTGAGCCCTGGTTTTCCCAGAACCACACATGCCCCTGAGCTCGGATCTCTTTGCTTCTAGCCTGCAAATATACTTCTAGTGCCCACTGCGGACAGGGCTCGAGGGTGCATAGTAGGGAGCAACAAAGTCCCAGGAGCTGACTCCTAGAGCACAGACATGAGAACTGCCATGATGACCTCTAGGGAGGGGTTTGGCAGTGATGGTCTAGAAACAAAAGCCATCTTCCTTGTTGGGGCTCACATTCCTGGGGTCCTCTCCAGGGACTGCCCCTGGGGCTTGGCACTGGATTACCACCCTGCCTGCTGGCCTCACCCACAAATATCTCCTTGATCTTTCTCTTTCC